ATACTCTTATTATTTTTGTACGAAAGGACGACAAGACTTTTACATTACTAAAATGCACATGTTAGTGAAATATAGGAAACAGTCGAAGAAAATACCTGGTTTGCTAAATGTTTGTCATGAAACTACTCCAGTTTATCTTACCTGATAACATTTGAATTCTGGAGTTTTCATTCACTTGTTTAAAAGTATAAACGTGGAATTATTGTTTTCTACTTACATTTCCCAGTTTATCGCAAAAATTGCCAACAGTCAGGAATTTTCAGTCTACAATTGAAAATACCGTTACCGAAAGTACCCAGCTTATTTTTGAAGTAAAGAATTTGCAGCGAAAGAAAAAAAAATTCTACTTGTCGTGAGTGCGTCAATACTTCGAATGCTCTTATTACTTTTGTGCAAATGACATGAGTGGTGCAGCGAGGGAAAAAACAAATTGAGACGTAAATACCTGCTCCAGCGTTTCACTTTAAAAAGCAGCGTAGTTAGGTTCCTCGGACTCGTTACATATCGATCCCACCGCGGCAATTCGAGAAAACGATTTCCTCCGTTGACTCATACTGCACAAAAAGCATAAAGTAAGTCGGCTTCTTTCATCCTACCCAGCCGTTCTCGCATTTACCACGAATCAGTTCTTAATTGTTGCATCTATTGTGCGTCTGAAAATGACAGAGAATCGGAAATATTAGTCTCCACAAAAAAAGAAACAAAGCAATGCGTTACATAACTTTGAACAACCTCACAGTGAAAGGGTGTCCTCTTAAAATTCCTCTTATATTTTTAAATAACTATTGCGGTTGTGCAGTTTACTAAATCTTCGTGGCACGTAAAGCACATAATTCCTGTTTAACATTTCTGCAAATTTCTCTATATAAGGAATAAGATAAAATCAGTGGTAATTTCTTTTTGTTTGTCCAGAACTTTATTTTTGAGTGTTATGCTTACCGATATAGTGCACAATGCTGTTTATATCGTCTTCGTATATCGAAGAGCTAGTAAGGGCAACATTCAACTTTATAATATTGAGGCTAAGAGATATCATTGTATGTACTTGTATATTACTTGATCCGAGTGCGGAACTGCTCGCTCGTTATGAATTATCATTACTCGCCCTGATTTCAGCCTACTTACTACTTTATTCAAGATATGCCGACAAAAAGCTTGCAACCTATTGATAAGGGGTTATTAGTTATCGAAACAGCCAATTAAAATGCTTGTAAACGGTCGATAACGAGTTATTAGCCACCGAAGCAATTAATTCGTCACATTTGGATAGTACGTCATAAAATGACGGAAGAACTCTCAGCTTCAATTACAGGATACCTTATCTACGAGTACGGGATTTTGTAGGACCTTCATATCATCTAGGGGCGATTAGAGCACTATGGAATAAAAAAGTTTCAATTCGCGATAAGTTTAAAAGTATAATCTTTAGAAGAATGGGACTTAGTGCATGTTGCTAAATAGACTTTTTTTACTAAGTAGTAAAGGACTCTTTGTTTGTTCAATATCGTCGAATCTTCTTATAAGTTGAGATATTTATAAGCAATGAAACTGTTTCACTTTGCTTCCCTCATGGGGTGAAAATGCAACAATAGGAGCGATCCAATGAAATAAACGTAGTTTCATATTTAATATTATTTAACAAGTTAAAATGATTAACGTAACTTACGCTCTTCGAACAAACGAAAATTGAGCTCAATCTGGTTTATAAAAAGACATTACTTCATTAGAAAATTGGCATCCCTGACATTGTCGTTGGTCAGTCATGACTTTGTCAAGAGGCTCATTGAATTTATAGATCAGGGTTTTTATCTGTGCAAATGCCACATATCCACTTTTTGCATTTCTTACTAATGCACAGCTCTCAACATACCAATTAAAACTACCAATGTCTGTTCATCTTTTTCGATTTCGAACCACTTCTATTACTCTACATGGTAGTTTAAATTTGGCAGATCGCAAAACACGTGGATCACAGAGGAACATTGTTTAACCGTACTCCACATGATATCTCGTAACGTTTAACGTCATATTTGCAAAATCCTTAAATTAAATCATTAAATAAAGAGATCGCCTAAATTTCGGGCATTTCCAGCGATATGAGCATGACTCGAATACCCGAAAAAGGTATTTGTTATTAAAAACACAATTCATGAAAAAAAGTTTACTTTGGAATGTCATAGCACCATGTATATCTAATAGTCGTCAGTGTTGCAACTGAAGTTGAAGACTCTAAGAAGGAAAAATTATTATCTAGTGCACTCTTCAATGGTAGGAATTTTTAAATATTCACACAGTCAAGAATAATGCAAATGTTTCACTATGCCCTAATCTTTTCTACTTCAATGTGGGAATACACATATTCACATATATATACACATATTGTTTAGCTGAAAAATCTTCTCAAACTACCTTTTTTTTTAATTTTATCTCGGTTTATTTATTAATTTTAATTGGTCGAGTCGTCGCCATTTTAATGCACGTTCAGATGCTTCTTGTCCGCAATCTTACGAAACTACATTTCCTGCAACATGTTGCAAGATGCCTCTTTGTCAAATGCTTCTTTATATAATTCCCTGACGCCTTTTTTTTACGCAGAAAATTGAACGAATGCCACGCCGACAGATCGCTATTGTGCTCGAAATTGGCAGTCAGGTAGTCGTGCCATCATTTTAGCTTTTGGATAATATTCACCGACAAAGTCGTACCCCACTGAACACCAAACCTAACAGTTACGTAACATAGAGCTAACAGATTACATAACATTTGTTAGTATCACATCTATATAAATGTAGCATAACTTTGTTACTCTCATCTTACATTACGTTACTGTCCTGAGATTACTGTGTATATGCAGCACATATTTGTAACAAAACAGAACTACATTGATGCTAACTGTCATTTATTTTTTTACATCATCATCGTCATTGTCATAATTGATCGTCAAATGTCATCAGATTAATATATGTCATATTTTGTTTACTACTCGTATGAAAAAAATGTACCTTAAATTCATACGCGCATATACATTATCGGTCATTGTTTACTAGTCGAATGAAATCCTAATCGTCTTTAAGTAAAATCAGATAGTTTATCATTACATAATTTCATTGAACGTCTGATTTGTCATTTAATATCTAACTGTTGTCAAGTACCAAAAAATAATTAAAAATAAAAAATGATATAATTTTGGATAAAATTTCGTGGTCTTTTTTATTAAATGTATGAGAAATTAATATTATTTTAAAGTAACGGAAATGACAACATTAATATAACGTTAATATAACATGTTACATAACATAAGTGGGGAGTAATAATTAACATTTAACTTCCATGATACTTTTATGCTATATAACATGTTAGTTTCGTAAAACGTAACATTTACTCAACAATTATATAGTAGTGTTCACTGGGACACTGAAAAGAAAAAAAATGGAAGGAAATTCACATACATTTTTCCCCCCTACATAACGGAAGTTTTACATAAAAATCCGTAAAATGGAAAAATGACAAATTAGAAGATGTATAAATGCACGTGGCTGTCATGTTCAGTTATAATAGATTAGTGTACATTAACGATTTAATTTATTAGGACTAAGTTAACGGGAACGATTTGACGTAGTGCATTGCAATCAGACCAGCATTGGTTCTAAGATTACGATTTATCATCTGGCACCATAAAGAGTTTTATAGTAACCTCCAAATGTATTGTTTAAATCAGGGATAATTTGACGTTCAGTCATATAAACGAGACATAACCTCTTTACGCGTATCGCGGCATGATACGAGAGAAAATAAATGCCCGACGCTGCGAGTCGGCGTTCCCAGTTTCCCGGGAGATTTAAAACTCGCCAACTCCCGCACCGTGATTATCTCTAATCAGTCGTAGCCTTTGAGTTTTCGGATCTTTAGGAAATGGGGTTCATTCCTCGACATGACCGGGACGGGAATAATGTGATCCAGAGGGCCGTGACCGAATACAATGGCAGGGACGGCATGACAAGTGCCTCCGTTTATTATTAGTTCGCCTTGCATCCGCCGCGACTGACGGCGTGGCTGCTGCGCCGTCGGTAAAGGCGGAAAGAAAAAAAAGAGCACGCCTAACGACCGCCACCGAGACGGAGCAAGATGGAACGTAGTTACGGCCCACAGCCCGATGAAAACATGAAGCGGTTTACGTGGGGGTGACGCGTCTCGCAAAAGGAAGGCTATTTCCATTTCTCGTATAAATCTCCCAAACTGCGTACATCGGCAAGCTTTACTTTCGTTTAGAAGTAATATATCACGCATACAAGTATTGCGCTCGAATCGTTGATCCCTAATATTTAATCCTGCGAATATCAGGGGGAAAAGGAAAGAGACAACAGCTGGCACTTTCCGTTTCCGTCCCAAGCGCTCAGTGTTTTTCCGTATTTCCATCCGACGCTTCATAGCGAGAACATTCTAACAGCCAATGGAAAGAACGCCATATTACCCGCGTACCCCTTGGGGTTGGCGACCGGCTTCCATTTTGAAACGCTCAATACTTGATCTCTTCACCTTCGGGTTATTGCTCCGAATGGATTTGTCCAACTGGACGAATCCAGAATCAATCGGCCGTAATTCCTCTCGGCGACATATTTGGGGGGTAAATTAGAATCGAAGAAAGGAATCGGGGGCGAAGGGGCACGCGTCCGATCGGGAAACATTGACCCACGATGCCGTGACCGGGCACGATGACAGGGCAGCGCGTCAAGTGCCCTTAGTTCGGGACGCGCTCGCTGCGGCGGTGGGCGCGCGAACTACCGTCGTTCCCGTCGGTAAGGTAGGGGTCGACAGGCCTCTCGAGAGAGCGCGCGGCACCGGGCGCGGCGGAGGCGCGAGCGAGACGGAACTTGCCGGCGGGCCGGCCGGGAGGAGAAAAGAAGCGAAAGGAGCGCGATGATTGGCGCGATCGGCAGTGGCAGGAGGCCGGGGGCGCGATGGGCGTCGGGGCGGTCGGCGCGCCTTGGCAGTCGCGTCGGTCGGCTCGTCGTCGTCAGCTCGTGGCGAGAGTCCGCGCGTGTCCGCGCGTGCCAGCGCAGGTGCGCGATATTCGCGCGAGTTGCGGGAGCCCGGGTCGCGGCTGAGACCGTAGGGGGCCGCGGCGTGGCGGCGGGACCCATGGGCTCGCGATGCCGGGGTCGGCGGTCCACTGAGGAGACCGGAGCCGCTCTCGAGACGGCGTCCTCGAGAAAGATGGCAGCGGACTTCGACGACGCTCGCTCCTAAAGGCGGCCCTACCTCGACTCGGCCCTCCCTCCGGGGACCCTCGCAGGCCGATTTCGAAACGCCCGGAGCGCGCACAGCTGCCGAGACTCCGCGGCGCGCCGTATTAATAGAAGCCCTCTCTCCGCCGCCCGCTCGCTCTCCTAACCTCCTTACGGGGTGCGCTTCCTCGACGCGGCGCCCAACGCGGGACCCACCAGGATGTCGCGCGTCTCGCTCAACAAGTCACAGTACAGCCAGTACGGCTCGAGGCGGGTCCGGAAGATCAGCACGGTGCGTGTTTCTCCCGATCCTCTCCTCCCGGCCGCTAATCGCCCGGGTGGCGTGGACACGTGACTCAGCCTTGACAGCCGTTTGCCGTGGCCGAGCGCATTCGCGCGCATCAAGGCGCATCGAGGCGGGCTCGCTGACTTTCCCCGCGTGTTTACGCGGCCTAACCTCCCGATGCGCGAGCGATCGGAGCGCTCCGACTTCTCCTTCTCCCACCTTTATCCTTCCACGAGCTTTCCGCCCTTTGTCTCCATTTGCCCCCGGATTTGGGAAACTCCTCTTGCTTCGTCAATTTATCCTGGCCATTTGAACGTCTTTTAAAATCCATTAAGGGGATATTAAAGGGTCATTCAATGTATCTAAATCGCCTAAATATTGATAAACCTTTTCTCCTAACTGAGTTCGCCGAATCATTCGAAGCCCCAGGACGTGATTATAAAGGCCCTAAGGAAGAACCCGATGCTCGTGGAATTTCACTGTTTCACAAAAGAAAAAAAATGTGATCTTGGTTCTAGCCTAGGCTAAATAACCAAAGATTTTCCTTGATAAATGAAATTTCACGAAGATCGCGCTCTTCCTTAGGGCCTCCATGTTCTCGCGATGAAGTTTTTCGAATGACTGGGTGCGTCAAGTTTGTAGAAAGGTTTTATAAATATTTTGACTTTTTGGTATGTATATGCGACACTTTCGTGTCACCCCTCAATCGTCTAACGGGGTGATTATTTTTCTTCTCCTTTCGTTTTCCATCCCGCGGTTAATTTTAACGTTTGGGTACCACGTCATCAGGAAACTCGGTGGAGTTTCGCGCCAAATACATTTAAAAGCCTGCGCGAACGGCGCGGAGCAACGCGAAAATTCGACGCGTCAATTCGATAAATATTTATTTCTCAATTGGGAGAACATATATCTTGGATAATGTATGTACCGTGGAACGAGGAAGCGCGGTCGAGGCGACTCTTATCTTCGAGGTATCGCGGAATTTTTTTTTCACTCGTGGGTGTTTCCGCGATCGCGGAACACTGCGCTCGGCTTAGTCTAATCGCTTGACTTTTTCACGGCCATTGGACGGATAATAAAAAATCGAACATCCGGTTGGTAGTCTTGGGTGACGAGTCGACCTCTACAAGGGCGTATATGGTAGCCTAATGTGCTCGAAACGAGGCGCAAATTTTCTTGTCCTCGTTTTGGAAACGGCGCAATAGCTCTTTTGGGACGAGTCGACCTTTTGCGAAGGCTTTTTTCTCCCTCGACTTCGCGAGATCTGGACGAGTGGAGTATCTTTTTTATCCGTATTTTAAGGTGAAGTGAAACCCCCGTCAAATCAGTCGATTCGAATACAACACTTTGTTTTAAGGGTATTAGACCAAACCGTCCGAAACTTTGACACATCACTCCTGATCATCTAAGAGTTGTCCTGACACATTCAACATTTGGATTTTTTTTTTTAATTTTTTAACTCAGCCCAGGCCAGAACCAAAATGGCGTCGAGCTCTCATATTTCGATCAATATACAATTATCGAAGGCTCTGATATGAGAATCGAAAGGGTCAGGACAATTTTACGACAATTTAGAACACTCTGGTAATCGATAAATTCGCATTTGAACGGGATAAAGGCAAAAAAAGTGTTGTATGCGCTTCTATGCCAAAACGATGGTAATACGAGGTCTCGGAGTGAAAATTTAATTGACCTAAAAATCACAGATGGCGCAGGGGGTCCCTCTGCAGTCAATTAGGGCCCCAGAAAACATGAATCCAGAGGATTTCTGAAGTTTTACTTCAATTTCTTTATAAATAATATACGAAAACGACAGGTGGAGTATGCCATTTGGTATAATACCCAATATAATTCGATACAGCTGTCAATATAAAAACGAACGCCGGCAACGTAGGCATTTAGAAAAATCTTTATCAACGTCGATCAAGTTCCTCGACGTGTTTCACTTCACCTTAAGGGTTATACGGCTTGGGGATATTTATACACGCATACAACGATATACCCAGAGCACAGCCTGGCTTTTAGACCAACGTTCCCTAAACCGGATTTTTCGAGAAATTTTCAAAGTAGAGCCTGGAATTCGACCTTAACGGTTCGTGTACGGTATTAATTATAGTACTACGTATCTCGAAGTTGTGGGCGACTCTCACTTTGTACGAACCTTCATTGAAGTCTTCGATTTTTCTCTGATTTTATTTGTCTTGCATTTCTCCGTTTTCTTGAATTTTTTTTTTTTTTTAAGGGATACCATTGCTGCATGATTGGAGTTCTGTTTAAAATCAGCTTGTAGATCGGTTTGTAAAAAAGTGGAAAATATTCAATGAGGTTTCCGGTTATTCCCGGGTAGTCTGGCATCGAACTCGTTTAATCGATAGGACAAAGAAGTGTTTGCAGGGAAAAGAATGAAAAATGAAATGGTGCCTGGTACTAGTTTCCACAGCCGGGGGTATAGGCTTTCTTTTGTCCTTTCTCTGGTAAACAAGAAAAAAAAAGTAATATAATTTGGGTCATTAACGTTAGTCCGTAGGCTTCGTCGTCGATTTCCTCGTAATCGTCGAACTGAAACGTATTGGGTCGAGGTATTTCTTGAATGATCTTATATTTCGACTAGAAAAAATAAGAGTACTTAAGGTGAAGTGAAACACGTCGAGGAACTTGATCGACGTCGATAAAGATTTTTCTAAATGCCTACGTTGCCGGCGTTCGCTTTTATATTGACAGATGTATCGAATTATATTGGGTATTATACCAAATGGCATACTCCACCTGTCGTTTTCGTATATTAATTATAAAGAAATTGAAGTAAAACTTCAGAAATCCTCTGGATTCATGTTTTCTGGGGCCCTAATTGACTGCAGAGGGACCTCCTGCGCCATCTGTGATTTCCAGAACAATTAAATTTTCACTCCGAGACCTCGTATTACCATCGTTTTGGCATAGAAGCGCATTCAACACTTTGTCTGCCTTTATCCCGTTCAAATGCGAGTTTATCGATTACCAGAGTGTTTTAAATTGTTGTAAAATTGTCCTGACCGTTTCGTTTCTCATATCGGAGCCTTCGATAATTGTATATTGATCGAAATATGAGAGCTCGACGCCAGTTTGGTTCTGGTCTGGGCCTTAAAAAAAAAGTGTTGTATTCGTATCGACTGATTTGAAGGAGGTTTCACTTCACCTTAAAAGCAAAAATCAAATATCAGATCAGGGATTGGATCAGGCTCTGGAGCTAATTTAATATTGGGGATTCTTGTCTTCTAAAGAGTTGGGCACCGTTGAAGGTGAAGTTGGGATTTACACCGAGGAAAACTGTCAATAACAAATTAAATTACGTTTGCGCAAATGTGATAACTGTTTTTTATTTTATTTTATTAAATCGTGTTAAGATCAGGATTTCAATCAATATCTTTGAGGGCTCCTGGGTTACAATCGCTTGATAATAAGGCGCGCCCAACACTTTCCCTTAATCCAACGTGATTTAAGATGATATGAAAGTGTACATATATATATACACACACCCCCCAAAACGTCAAAATGTTTATAAAACTATTCTCTAAACAGAGTGCACAGAATAATTTGAAACTTCAGCAGGTGAACATGGAGGCGCTAAGGAAGAACGCGACGCACGTGAAATTTCATTTTTCAAAGAAAAATTTTGTATGTCCCAGACTAGAACCAAGGGCACATATTTTTGTTCGAAAAATGAAGTTTCATGAGCGTCGCGTTCTTCCTTAGGGCCTCCATAATCACGCGTTAAAGTTTCCAACGATTCAGTTTACCCAGTTTGAAGGAAATTATAAATATTTTGACGCTCTATATATACCCCTTTTATATTACCTTAAAACAACGAAATGCAAAAACAAAATATCACAAAGTAAAGGATAAATGACCCCATCAAGATCACCCTATAAACAGGAAAGTACCAGCTCCAGAAGAACGGAAATATCTTTCTCCACTTTCCTTGTTTCGAAGACCGGTACTACGTCGCTTTGTGTCGTAGGGTTCGGATCAGAGAATAATGCACATATTAGTTAAAAGAAAAACTTGGGAAGTAGTAAAATCATCCCAGAAGGAATTACAAAAAGTTGACGTACTACACGTCCTACGAACTTTTGATTCCGAAAATTTCCTGTACATATTCTATAAAAATGCGTGAAGACCTCATTAATGGGGGATTGATATCATTTATGGGGGATTGAATGATGAGTGAATCAACTCATTGAATCATCAATAGGGGATTGAACATATATTGAGGGTTCGTCTGATACCTTTTTTTTTTTACGAATGTTTGATTTCGGTAACTGCTGATATTTCGACATGCTAAGTTTGCATAGAAATCTTTGCATGCAGCTCCCTCCAACGTTAAATGTGCCCACTAACTAGGCTGGACCTCGTTTATCCACCTGGTTAGAAACGAGGCCGACGTTAACTCGTATCAAGACGCTAAGCTTGGTTGGAGACGCACTCGAAAGATGCAAAGTTACAAACGTAGAATACGTGAGTGCGTTCTTTGCACCCATGTCACTCCTAACGCAACCAAGGTTGGGTGGGCATAACACGTCATGTAATATACGTGACTTTCTACACGTATATTACAACGTATAATACGTTTCTACTTTTCTATGTGAGTGCGAAGTTCTATTTATAAATAGAAAGTAATAAATCCAATTAGGAATTTGGTATTAAACTGGGTTAAGTTAAAAGGATTTTGAACGCAAGCGCCAAATTAATTATTCCTTCACTATTTTTACGTATTTACATGTGCGCTAAGAGACGTTTATAACCTAGCGGATACATATATTGTGGATCTGCGGCATCCGCCATATTGGAAACGTAAAATTTCATACAATTTTGAACGCAAGCGCCAAATTAATTATTCCATAAAAAATATATTACGTGTTAGCTTATGTGCTAAAACACGTTCAGAACCTAGCGGATGCCGTGCATCGCACATCTGCGGCATCCGCCATGTTGGAAACGTAATTTGCTGGTTTTCTACGATTTTCTACGGTAAACTGCGTGGTTCACATAATGTAGTCAGAAAGCTCGAAAAAGGGGAAATTACCCAACCCTGAACGCAACCATAAACGGGGCCAGCCTCGGTTAACGAAACAAGGCCGAACTCGCCCGAGCCCGAGTCCCGCCCGGTTAGGCGGAGAGTGACAGTCGAGATCAGCTGATCGACGCCGACCTTCGATTCCGGCCCAGTCATCGCCGGTTGCTCCAATCAATTCCCATTGCGACAAGGTCATTAAGCGGCCCCGCGGTCAAATGACAAGCTTGATTTCTCCGGGTGTCCATTTCGTCGAGATCCGAAGGATTTCGACGGATTTCGACGGTTTCGACGCCTCACGGATGCTTTGAACGCCGGCTAACCTCGCACAGTTACCGCCGGGAAAACACTTTCTATTTGTAGGGACGACCGGCGTGAGTCGGGAACAAGGAGCCGCGTTGTTCGAGTTTCCTCGCCGGACGAACTCGGATGTTATAAGACTGACCTTTCCGACGGATTTACCGTTTCCTGCGAGAAACTTCCAACCGATGCGCACCGATCTGCCTCGCCATTGCTTCTCTACGTGCAAAGTGTTTATAGCGCCTTGTTACTGGATAATTGCTTGCTAGAAATTTGCAAACTGCCTGCAACCTGTGACTTAGTGCGTTGGATAGGATGGACCTTGTGTCGCAGTGCTCGAAGTGTGTTATTGCTTATGGATATACCGTCTCAGTTGCTTTTCTTGGTAGAGACGTTGCGAATCATCAAGAGGCTTTCGATGAGGAAAATTGTTAAATTGGTTCTAGGTAGTACTTCTGTATTAGGAGGCTGTCGTGTAATGCGTATTAATGTTAATCGATGCATTAGACGATAAAATATGTAATTTGCATTTACGCTAGGTCAAACTGCGCATAGTTGCAAGGAAATTACTTGTGCCATGAGGACGTTATCTGGCAGTAGTTTGTTAATGTTCTATACCGATGAATGTGTAACTCGTTCGAGCTTGAGATTTGACATTGTTTCGCACACACCTGCCTTGGCAACGTTCCAAACAAAGCATGCATTTAAATTATGAAGACCACAACGGTACAAAGAAAGCAATCCGTTGCTGCTTTTGTCTCTTGTTTGTGCAGATGGAGTCCGAAGATAATCTTTTATTTTCTATATTTATGTATAATTGCACAGTGGCGACAGGAATACTTTTCTATCTGATATATTTGAGATATCATTTTCATGACTCAAGATTTTACGTAATTTCCTCCAAGGTTGTATTGACTATTTCCCGGCAAGACGTTTGCTCTAATAATTATGACCTCCTCATAGCGAGGAAATGGTTTCCTTTGAAAAATCTAAACATTGGCCCGACGTCAATGCTGTGGTTGAAGTTAAATTTGCTGTGAAGTTGACGTTGATACAAAGCGAGCACAATGCCAAAATTACGTGTGGTATGGATGGATGTGTTCCGAGCACTTTACATGACTTTAACAAAGACGTACATCAAACTCGTAATTTAGCTGTAGCTCTTTAAGATTGCTTTTATTCCATGTAAAATGCCATTAAAAATAAGACTGGTAGTATGTTAGCAATGTCACTTTGAAAGGTTATAGTTTACGTTTATTGTGTGAGTCAAGCTTCCCTCATTAAAATTGCGTATGCAATACGTGTAAAAAGGACATTTTCTATGAACTATCATAGCCGGTTTCCCTGTATATGCAAATATGGCAAAGCATTGAGTAAAGTATTAACTTAACCTTATTGAACGGTGCTTTCTAAATTGTCACCCTCGTATCCATACATAGAAGTTTTCCAATCAGGGCTTGAATCGTTTATGCGTATCGCAACAAGTTTTTTTTTTCCTTGTAATACTATTCAAGGTGAACTACCGGTTACTAGAAGAAGAATATGGAAATCTAAGATGAGACAAGGTGCATTCGGCACATTACTAAGCAATATTGCTTTGCCCGAAGAGAATAACAAAATGAATTTAATTTGTGGTAATTTTTCTATTACACTTGAGTACAATTCTTAATAATATAGTGCTTTGACTTGTATCTAAGTTATTATTTCTTATCGTCCATTGGGGTGTATGTTTAAGCGTTTCAAACATCGTCCTTTTTTTCCTTCCCAATTCCAAGCATCAATCAAATAATTTCTTTGCATGGATTATATAGTATTAAATATTATGAATGTGTGTTAATAGACGACTAATTATTATAATAATATTTACAGACGGAGAGTGAGTACTCGGTGGAGGAGCAGGCACGATTGACGAACACCGATGGAGGACCCGAAGAGACTTCACCGGAAGATGAGGCAGGATCGCTCTGTGAATATCATGATATACCACCACCACCTGATGGTGGTTACGGTTGGGTGGTGGTATTTGCATCATTCATGTGTAACATGATAGTGGATGGTATTGCCTATACCTTTGGTGTCTTCCTCGGAGAGTTTGTCAAGTATTTTGGGGAGGGAAAAGGCAAGACTGCTTGGGTTGGATCTCTTCTCTCTGGCATGTACCTAAGTGCTGGTAAGAATCATATATATGATTTATATAGTTCATTGAACAATTAAGTGGATTTCATTTTAACGTAACAATCAATGTCTAGGTCCTGTCGTCAGTGCACTGACAAACAAATATGGTTGTCGAGCGGTGTGTATGGCTGGCAGTTTCATTGGAGCGGCGGCATTTGTACTTTCAACCTTATCCACCTCTGTAAATATGCTAATGTTGACTTACGGTGTCATGGGAGGTAAATATTCGAAGGAAAATAGTTAAACTACTTTCATCTTACGATTTTATAATACTTTATTTACAATCTTATTTCCCGTTAATAACATAACATAAGAAACAAATGGTTCTGAGAGTTATTCTTATGTGAAATGTTACAGGTATAGGGTTTGGTTTAATATACCTACCAGCTGTGGTATGTGTAGGGTATTATTTCGAAACCAAAAGATCGTTGGCTACGGGCATAGCCGTTTGTGGTTCGGGTTTTGGTACTTTCGCATTTGCGCCCTTAGCCACGATACTATTAGAAGCATACAGTTGGAAAGGAGCAAATCTGATTCTAGCCGGCCTTATTCTTAATTGTGCGGTGAGTAACCAATCGATTGACTACAAGTCGTTGCGTTCGACTAGCGTACTTGAATATTTATTGAGTGACAAAACGTATTAAGCTATTTGTTGTAAGAATATTACAAAGCCAATTAATGTGATATGAAATGGAGCCTATATATACCTGAGAAGTCAAATCGTTGGGGAAAGTATTTACCGAATTGGGTGTACCTATTCGTTTCAAATTTTACTACGTGAACATGGAGGCCCTAAAGTAGGTCCTGAAACTCGAGAAACTTCATTTTTCATCAAAACTTTATTTATCATGAACTAAAACCAACATGGCGTGGTTCGTGCACGTTTTCGATATTTTACGCCTGGAGGCTTACAATTGAAAATGAAGAGTTTTGGGACCTAACTTGAATAATTTAGAATACCGTAGAAATGGAATATTACAGAGTCAGATGGGAAAATATGGTATGCTGGCTTGTCCCGTGGCTAATACGTGTTTTTAGAGCAAAAATTTAGTTGCAGCTAAACGTCACAGATGGCGACGTTGCCCCTTAACAGTCGTTAGAATAATGAATTCACGGGATTTCGACAGTTTTACGTCGATCTTTTTATCATTACTTTACCGAAATGACGTATGGAACGCTTCAGTTCGTATAATTCTCAACGTACACTGTAAAAGACTTCAATATAAATATAAATGTCGGTAACGTGACGCGTCAGCTTATATTACCACTTAAGTATTCGGAATGGCATTGCTATAAAAAAGGGTATTGGTGAATATTATTTTATCGGCATAGATTAAATTTCTCAGCGCCTTTCATATCATCTTAATCACGTACATGTGGACACAAGAGGGAGGACATGTCCATTATTTTACGTTGAATTTCATATCGCTAGACTGGGCATACTTTTTTGATCAGAAAAATGTTCATTCCAGGTATTTGGCGCCATGATGAGACCTTTGGAGTATCCAAAGACTTCATCCGTCAAACCGCTTCTGCAAAGAATGGCCGAAGAAAAAAGGTTCCAAATGGAACGTGGAAGTATCGGCGGTTCGTACTTCATGGTACAACTACCTGATGGGTCAATGGAGAAGAGGATGAAAATGCCTATTAACATCGATCCTGGTGTACACTCTAGCTTCAACTTAGATCAATTAGTGCCTGGTAAGATTGTGTAGAGCGGCTAGCATTCCCACCTTTTTTTGCACCTTCTCATCTTCATCTTGTTTATCGAGGCGAGATCCATTCTTTCGTATTGAACAACAATTTTAATTTCTGAACTTCAGAATATTGAACTAATATAAGTACGGTCTTTTTTTAAATGCGCTTATTACTCTGTAAACCTTAAATATTTAATACGGACTTAGAAGAAAGAATCCAAAAATAAGGAAAATGTTCGAGCATAGATTAGTATCTGAATCCGTATATTTGTGACACACTCGAAACGAAGTTGCCATTCCTGAAAGCTAATTTAGAAATATAACTTCATTACAGATAGTTTATAATTAACAACGCTTTATTGAAAATAATCCCAGTTCAGAGAATCGGTACTTTTTACACGTTAATATTTCACAGTTCTCATGCGTGTCTCTAAAGCGGATTTTTATATCTCAAATTTCTTAATTCAGTCTATGGTGTGTATCCAGAAATTGAACGTCTTCGTATTGAAAGAATTTCAATTCCGTACATAAATAGTTCAGTATTCTATCATTTACCAATACTTATTAGGCTTCCACGTAGTAGGCTACAAAAGCGTATAATGACTGGACAAAAGTGAGACTTCATTATTATTGTTAAAACAGGGCAAAAATGTTCTTTCTTAAATTTACTAATGAACAATACAGGATACATATATGCAATTGTAGTAAGCTCATTTGCTGTATGATACCTGTTTTACCATGTTTTAACCATAATAATATAGTTACAATCAACTTCTGTCCAGCTCCAATATATGTCTGCGGAGTAAACTGTTTTGTAAAACAGTTTCACATCAGAATTCTACGTAAATGGTTCCTCGTATGCCTCGCTACAATCGATAGTGTGGTTTGGTTCGTTTCATACATCCTATCAGTTTGTAACAGAATTCAATCACTTGTAATATTAAAGGAACGCCTTTAACACCAGTACCAACAGTACCGACTCTACCAACGATCTCGGAAGTAAAAGTACAAGAGCACTCGTCCAGCGGAGCAACCAGCAACAGCGGCAGCATGGATTTGAAAGCAGTGTCGACCAAATCCAGGAGCAGGAAGGCCGTAGACGATATCAAGGACACCAAAGATACCACTGACAAATCCGAGAACGAGTTCAACAAGCCAAACATTCCCAGGAACGCTTCTCAGCCCGCCTTCACGACCCACGTTCAAGGATTGCCTAAAAATGGATCCGTGCCCTTCTTCGACAGAATTCGTAAGACCAGCACTGGCGAAAGGTATAAGCCATCCTTAAGTGCGATCAAGAATTCCAGGTCGACGTTGAATTCGAACGGGGACATTAGGAAGAGCTTGCATCTGAGACTCTCGACGAATAGCATGCTAGGATCTCGAAATAATAACACCGAAGTCGATGTAAGTACGAAGTTTATTATTATTTTCATGTAAAGATTACAAGGAAAGATATCGGATCTTTTTTAAATTATACGATGGTGGGTGAACATGCCTGTAAAGATTTTCATTTTATTGTAATAACGATTCTTCTGTATTTTCATGTATTATTATTATTTTTTCTTTTTCTTTTTAATTCAAATACTGGATTCTAATTTTGCAACGTACCTCCCAATCTGTATTTCTGTACTCACATTGTATCTACCTCAAGCTCTAGCTTACCTTTGCATGCCAAAATATTGGAACTCATGTCTATCTGCAGTTTTATAAAATCCTCATTGTCTGTTTCTTTTTCTTAAGGACGGCGAGAGCATTACCTTTACAAGTAAATCTAGCATACCGAAGGAGAAGCCCTTAATGGTACGGCCCTTGTCCAGAAAGGATATTTTCTACAGTGGAAGCGTGGTGTATCTGCCAGAATACCAAAGTCAAAAGTCCCTTGCTAATTACCGTCAAAGTGTGATCTCACTTCCAAAATCTGTACGCGGGGACGTTCGAGATGGAGATGTTGAAAAAGCACCACAGCGTAAGTATTATTTGTTTGCGTCTTAACAGGTGAATTTGGTTTCATTCTAATCGCTCACAGTTGGTACCGTATTTAACTGGAAAAATTAAAGTAGTGTTCAAATGCGTTCCTATGAAAATGAGATCAACTATTGTAATATAATATTAAGGTGGATCCAGACGTGACCATTTTTGCATATCTATACGAATGCTCATGTCTGAACATGAGTTACGTGTGCGTGCATGCTTTAACGTGATATGAAAGTGTCAGCTTATATATATATATATAGGCATATTATTAAAGCATGCACGCACAAAATTGCGGGGACCGATAGTCAGTGAAAAAGTATCTTTGCAAAACATTAGTTTGAACGATACCGATACGATGACGGCGAACGGACAGACAAAACCATTCAGACGCAAGCAAGCGGTTCGGATGCGCAAAAATGCTCACGTCTGAATCCACCTTTACATATACAATATAGTAATATTAGATGTACATGTAATTTTGATTACATTCTTTTCAGAGCCACTTTGCCCATGTCTAGTATTGCCCGACTCCTTCAAAGATGCCCTGGCAACGATGATGGACATGTCCTTGTTGAAAGATCCTGTATTTCTTTTAATTGGTATTAGTAACGTTTTCGGAATGGCTGGATTATACGTCCCGTTTGTGTACTTAGTGGATGCCGCAGTTCTGGACGTGAGTTTTTAAAATGTAGCTCCTCGACTCCTGTTATCAATTTTTTCCCTATCTTTAAATCTGCAATTCTGGTTATTAGGGAATAGAGCCGAATTCTGCATCGTTTCTGCTATCCATTATTGGAATCACAAATACTTTTGGACGTGTGGCCTGCGGCTACGTTGCGGACTTCCCACAAGTCGACTCTTTGTTGTTGAATAACATTTGCTTAATTATATCCACCGTCGCGGTCGCAGCAACGCCTTTTTGCCACACTTACGCTGCTTATATCGTGATGAGTATCTTCTTCGGGATAGCGATATGTAAGTATAGTGATATCTTCTGGCTTTGCGGTAACTTCGAACAATTGTTCTGTATTTAGCACAGCAATTTATTTCCAATTATACTTATTAAAAAGTACATTTTTTCATATTACTACTTTTTTTTTTTTTTTTTTAACTATGGTAGCGTTTCCAATTTATTATGAGGCGTTTGTACATGAAGTGAATCTAATCCCTTGATCTTTTTTTAACATCAGCTGGATACATTTCGCTGACATCGATTATTTTGGTGGATCTCCTGGGCCTTGACAAGTTGACCAACGCTTTTGGTCTTCTGATCTTATTTAGGGGGGCAGCCGCCATTGTTGGATCGCCATTGGCCGGAGTCGTTTACGATGCGACACAAAGTTACAGTATCCCATTTTTTATGGCAGGATTTTTTTTCTTTGTCAGTACTATCACCAGTTTCATGGCGCCCGCGATGAAACGTTGCACCACGCCGGAGGTAAAGTCACTCACGATATTATTTCCTTCTCTATGACTAGGATCGTTCATTTTAATGCGGTGGGATTGTACCGATTGCTTGTAACGCGTTGCAGGCACAACCTGTGATATTAGATACATTGACGCCTATCGATGAAGATATCGAAGAGGAAAATGAAGAAGAAATCCCGGAAATAGTAGAAACTGCCCCTTCACCCCAAGAGCAACCCGAGAAGGAGATCAAGCAAATAGAATCCGTTCTGTAATTGAAGTCAATGCCTCCAACACCGTTCTGTACAGAAAGAGAGAGAGGGAAAGAAGAAGTCGCCTTTACTCCGAGCCACGCTGTGATAGGGCTGCCATTTTGAGGAGATCTTGAAAAAGGTATTTCTTTACTTGTACGTATTTAATCGACGAAGCACAAAACGGGCGGCACATACAGCGGGACATTGGGCGTGTTCGCAATTTGGAAATTTGGCCGGTCTCGCTCAATGTTAAGTTTGAACCGATTCACGGAGTTTTGTCACAGGTGGGGGAGGGCTATTGCCTTCTCGAGAAGTCGCTCTTGAATAGGATATTTAATTAACCTAATCAGTATCGATCAACAGTATGAAAATTTCAGAAAAGTGGAAACAAAAAAAAAATAACACGCTTTTGCACGTGCATATCGACTAAGAATGTACTTTAATTTGGTCTGTAAGTAGTAGAACGGACATTGATCCAAGTGAGATCCACCTGCGACCTTTCTCACTCGGAGTTGCCACCAATCCGACTCCGGAGGCGCAGCTTCTGGCTGTAACGCGATAAGTACTTTAATTCCACGCGAGCGACATGTGTAAATACATTGATGGAGACACGCCGTGTGAATAAGTTACAGGGCGAAACATACAGTTTGCCGTCGAGGAGGGAGACTTACGATTGTAAATAGTATAAAACTACTTGTATAATAGCTATAACGAAGCGATGAGATTAGTTAATTGTGACGCTGATTTCTATACCGAATCGCGGTTTTCAGAAAACTAATTAATATATTGATTAATGAGCAGTAACACTTGATTAGATAGAGACTTATTAATATATTAATTATGCCGTTTAGGATTTTTATCGTGTTAGTGTACGAGGTCCTCGTTCGCCGTAGCTAGTTTGGGTTAATTAATCGAATGACCGTTTAGTTAGCCGTTGTCGTTCAAATATGCGATAAGGACTAAGAAGCACATTAATTAACACAAACTAATCAACTAAAGAACGGTAAACGTATAAATATATATGGACATATATATATATATATATCTCGACGCGTGCACGCGATGCAACGACGCCGATTCGTGCATGTGCGAGATTTAGAGCGTGGCTCCTGTGGCAATTGCCGCACACCTCGCGGGAGCCGTTAATTAATTAATCGATTATCCTAATCGATTCAATTAAAAAGACTAGTGAAAGAATTATTATTGACATTATGTGATCTACACATATACAAATTCTATGTATATTATACATTCTTACCTATACACAAACACACACTAACGAGTGAAAATCATTGTAAATCTTGTTGAATGCTAAACGCAAACGTTACGCTGTGTACATAGTATATAGGACGACATTTTTATTTTTATTATTATCGACGTCATCGACCAACATTGGTACCACTATCGCTCCTGCTGTTACTATTACTGTTGCCATCACTGCTGCTATTACCACCACCACTACTATTACTACTACTAATATTACTACTACCACCCCACCACCACCACCACCACCACCACTACTACTACTACTACTACTACCACCACTACCACCACTACCACCACTACTACCACTACTACCACTACCACTACCGCCACCGCCACCGCCACCACCACCACCACCACTACACTACTACTACTATTACTACTATTACTATTACTACTACTACTACTATTACTGCTACTGCTACTGCTACTGCTACTACTACTATTTACTATGACTACTGATACTGTAACTTCATGCACTACTGCTGTTATTACCGCTACTGCGTCTGTTACACTTTTATTTTCGTTATTGTCGTTGAGAAGACAGTGTTTGCGGTTTGAATCAAATGCGATATACCACACGCATTAACTTAAATCTGGATCCCCGCGTAATAAGCGCTCTCGCGGTACGAATGCTTAATTACGATTATGTTAAGAGTGTAATTAATGTACGTGCACGCTCACGGACTCCTCGAGCGTGTGTATGCGTACGCGATCAATCTATATATTAACATTGCATATACGCGTCGCCTCTATCGAACTTACTACGCGTACGCATGCATACGCACTTGCGATAGGTACGCGACACCTCTCGTGAACATGTTAATATACAATATGGTACAAAGAAGAACAAATGTATTAGGTGATGTTTATCGAAATTGAAGAGGAATTATGAATTTTTATTATTGAAATCTAATGCTTCCTGTCTTACTCGATTTCACTCATCCCGGTAATTTGTACGAAGATTTCTTTCGCATGACTATTAACGTACATGGGTACCGTTATTATTTTGAATTCAGTTGCGATCTCGTGAATTGAAAATTATGTTTAGGTTAAATATACTGTGTTACGTTTTCCATTTTTGTTCTGTTATGACTTTTCTTTAATGATAATAGAGAACTAATAATCTATATACACCTCACTGTTTATTCATTTCGTAAGAATGATCGTAACTTGATCGAGAGTTTTTCAAATATTTGGCCGTGTTCTTTGATTGATTCTTTGATACCGCTAAAATTATTAATGAAGAAAAGAAGAATTAGCAAAGATAAATTAATTTTACGATGATTCCTTTCTTACTTTTGTAAAACTTTGTAAATGGGACAAATCTCGTCAAGATTATATATTAATTTTGTTAAGCATTTGAAACATAGCTCAAGAGATATAAACTGGAAATAACGAAGTGCGTAGAATTCCGCAAATTGTTAATAGAATCTATTATGAAAGTGATAACACCCCATGAAAGACCTGAAGTAAAACAAAGTGTATTTTATATTGAACGAACATGCACTTGGTCAATCGGTATTTATGTACCGTCATTTAGCTGTTCACTTTCCATGCTCTACGTATGTTTTACGGGTACTATGTACCTGTTACAGTGAAACACCGAAATCTGGAGAATGTCGACTTTCACCGGTGAATGTCAACATTCACATAGTCGCTTCGTGTATGTCCGAAATATTTGTTAAATACCCTTATTTCTGACTTACACCGGTAAATGTTGACATTCACCGGTGTGTGATTGTCGACACACACTGGGGAGGGTCCGAATGTACAACAATGTAATGAAGTATTCGATCTTTCACCGACGTATTTGGTATCTGTTAACATTCACCGGTGAAAGTCGACATTCTCCAATTTCGGTAATTCACGGTAACATACCCACACTATTTCTACCCTGTGCCATTAAACCAAGTGGCAAACATTTCCGAAGTTAAATCGATTTGCATACACTTTAGCTCGATTTATCCAGCTCAACCTTGCGTTGAGCTTAAATTTCTCCAGTGGAAAACATTGTAACCGGTCCCATACGAGTTGATCCATCTTTCCATAAATCCACTGAATAATTCAGCCAACTCAGCGGATCATTGAAAAATATGCATGTGCTAGGAATACTCAACCACGGCATAGTCTATGAGTTATCTCGTAAATATGCTCATAGATGGATCAGTCGACCTTCACGGTCGCAAACAGAGTTGGATAGGTATAGTACGTCATGTAATATACGTTGTTTTCGCCGCGTATGTTACATCGTATAATACGTTCCTAGTTTCCTACGTGGGCGCGAAGTATACTACACTTTCCTATTTATAAATAGGAAATAATAAATCCAATTAGAAACTTCATATTAAACTGGGTCAAGTCGAAAGAAGTTTGAATACAAGCGCCAAATTAATTATTCTTCCAAACTTTTTACGTGTTTACACGTGCGCTAAAAGTCGTTTATAAACTAGCGGATACATATATCGTGCATCTTTGGCATCCGCCATATTGGAAACGTAAAATTCTAAACAATTATGAACGCAAGCGTCAAGTTAATTATTCCATAAAAAAATTTACGGGTTTACATATATGGTAAAAGACGTTTTGAACGCAAGCGTCAAATTAATTATTCCATAAAAATATATACGTGTTTATATATGTTCTAAAAGACGTTTTGAACGCAAGCATCAAATTAATTATTCCATAAAAATATGTACGTGTTTACATATGTTCTAAAAGACGTTTTAAACGCAAGCGTCAAATTAATTATTCCATAAAAAAATTTACGGGTTTACATATGTTCTAAAAGACGTTTTGAACGCAAGCGTCAAATTAATTATTCCATAAAAATATTTACGTGTTTACATACATGCTAAAAGACGTTTTGAACGCAAGCGTCAAATTAATTATTCCATAAAAATATTTACGTGTTTACATACATGCTAAAAGACGTTCTGAACGCAAGCGTGAAATTAATTATTCCATAAAAATATTTACGTGTTTACATATGTGCTAAAATACGTTTATAACCTAGTGGATGCCGTATATCGCACATCTGCACATCCTTCATATTGGAAACGTAATTTACTGGTTTTCTACGATTTTCTACGATAAACTACGTGGTTTACGTAATACACGTAAAAAACCTCGAGGAACGCAAAATTACTTAACCTTGGCCGCAAGAGTGTCCTTGATTTTCCCCCAAATGGAGGAAGGATCGCGAGGGTCACGTGTAGTTCGTTACAAGGAAGTTCTACTACGTGTCGTAGAGTGGACGTTCTAATGGTGCGGTATGCAGCCGGTGTGCGCACCACGTGCTGTCAAAACTGCCGAAGCACGTGTCTTCTATTGATCACGCCGCGGAGTGCGAGTGCAGTTCTTCGGGAGCTGTCAGACAAGTTGCGCGTTATCGTTCGCGAAGCGCGTGTTAGATCGGTATTCAATATTTCTTACTAGCGATTTTCTCACTCCTATCGAAGCTTGGATAAACTTCGTTAATAAATCAGTGGGTAGACTAAACATGCAAGCAGGTCGCTGACAAATTTGCATACCTATGACATTTGCGATACCATTTAAAAGTGCGTGGAAAGGTTCGATTTAAAAGTTTCCATTTTTATGTCTCCGTTCGATCGATTAATGCTTGCCGACGTATCGGCAAAGGTTTAGGAAAATTTGATCCCTGTTGCCTGGCCACTCGATAATATCATGCAAGGTAATTTTGGGCATTAAGGTGAAGTGAAACCCCCTTCAAATCAGTCGATTCGAATACAACACTTTTTTTAAGGGTATTAGACCAAACTGTCCGAAACTTTGGCACATCACTCCTGATCATCTAAGAGTTGTCCTGACACATTCATCATTTGGATTTTTTTTTTACTTTTTAAACTCAGCCCAGACCAGAATCAAAATGGCGTCGAGCACTCATATTTCGATCAATATACAATTATCGAAGGCTCTGATATGAGAATCGAAAGGGGCAGGACAATTTTACGACAATTTGGAACACTCTGGTAATCGATAAACTCGCATTTGAACGGGATAAAGGCAAAAAAAGTGTTGTATGCGCTTCTATGCCAAAACGATGGTAAAACGAGGTCTCGGAGTGAAAATTTAATTGACCTAAAAATCACAGATGGCGCAAGGGGTCCCTCTGCAGTCAATTAGGCCCCCAGAAAGCATGAATTCGGGGGATTTCTGGAGTTTTACTTCGATTTCTATATAATTATTGTACGAAAACGACAGGTGGAGTATGCCATTTGGTACAATGCCCAATATAATTCGATACAACTGTCAATATAAAAACAAACGTCGGCAACGTAGGCATTTCGAAAAATCTTCTTCATCGACGTCGATCAAATTCCTCGACGTGTGTCACTTCACCTTAAGGCCCATGTGGATAGCGTGACCCACGCTTATTTTTCACTATATACCAAAAGTGCAATGTTTGTGGCTCCCTCTGCCAGCTCGTAGGACAAATGAGAGTCCATTGGGTGTATTGCCAGGGCTGTTGTCGGGTCCATGGTAAACTGAGATTCATAATAAATATTCCCGAGTGAATTATATCAAATTTGGTTGCAGCGTTCAAGCTGTTTCTCACAAAGTTTTGTAAAGTCCTGCTCTGTCTCGCAGATATGTAGTCCCTTACACTTTTTTCTACATATCGTTGTATTAGTTTTGTTGAAAAGGTAAGTTCTTTTAGAAATTATAACTTGGGAATGTAAATTGCACCGAACGGGGAATAAGGCCCAGCATAGCGCAACCAAAGATCTTTTTCAAACAGGATATGAAACTATGACCAGTTGCAGTAAATACAACGTCGTAACAAAATTTGAGCGAAATACCTTAAAAAGCGAAGCCTGGTATTTCAAAGAAGACCGAGAACTGGGACCGCAGCCTTTATCAAGAAAATAGGGTTGCCGATTGCGGCAACGTACCTTGTGCAAGAAATATCTTTACGAAGAATGCTCGAAGACAACATTCGAGGATCTTGATGACATAACTTGCCTTAACGGTACAAATTAATGTGCATCCTCTCATCAATTGTCCGTGGGTCTTATTACCTACACGTTCAGGTAACAATGCCGAGCAGCACCATCCTGCAATTTTTAAACAACGAATATATTTAGAATTATATTATATTTTTATAGTTTGTACCTGAAATAAACGTCGTTCGTGTACCCTTTACTTATTTCCTATTCTCAAAGTACTTTATATTTTAGATTTTACAAGCCTTTCGAGTTATGGTGGGCCTTATTACCCAAAGTTACCTTATATCAGCTTTTCATAAATTGCGTCGCAGCTGATATCGTATTTACCCCACTCGATGCACCTGTGGTTATTAGATCCTGACTAATTGGGATTCAAAGGATACCCGCGTACATAAGCCCATGCGTTTATCGATAGTGAAAGGAAGTTCGAAAGACTTCCCGAGGCCCGGTTCTGCTTTTATTAGCGCAGATAAAAACCGGAAAACCTGAATGAAACCGCAAATTTGGACACTAAGTATATATGTTACAGTGAAACACTGAAATCTGGAGAATGTCGACTTTCACCGGTGAATGTCAACATTCACATAGTCGCTTCGTGTATGTCCGAAATATTTGCTAAATACCCTTATTTCTGACTTACACCGGTAAATGTTGACATTCACCGGTGTGTGATTGTCGACACACACTGGAGAGGGTCCGAATGTACAACAATGTAATGAAATATTCGATCTTTCACCGACGTATTTGGTATCGGTTGACATTCACCGGTGAAAGTCGACATTCTCCAATTTCGGTCATTCACGGTGACATGTATACATGGCAGTCCGGTCGGTACAAATTAGATTACAGTAACAGATAGGATTGCTTTATAATATCACAACCGTGTTTCGTATCTTTATCTCCTGATTTATTTCTTTCGTTCCTTATTTTCTACCTATTCGTTCGGTATTAAAAATATATGCAGTATTGCAAAAGTAGAGAAATAATGTCAGTCTTTATGTCTGTTTGCTTACATGTTTCGAACAACCTATCAAGATTGATTACATTGACTTAACACAAACTACTGTTAATCATATAAATCTAATTCAATCTGACGTATTTCAAGTTTCAACTACAAACAGTTAGTAGTACATTGGTTTTAACAACTAATTCTCTCATAGTGAATTTTTCGGGATTTCCTATTATTCGTTTTATCAACCGTCTTGAAAAGATCAACGAGGCGAGTCGAAATTATGATCCAATTTAGAACCTATAATTGTGAGCCTAAAATGGCCTGTTTTAGATCTTAAAAGTAATAGATACTTTCATTTCTTCTACTTTTAAGCCTAAAGTAGGACTTCATTTATATTAACACATTACCGACCGGAAGTCTCTTAATCGATTTTGCGATACCTGTGATCGCTATTTATCTCCAAATTCGCTGGTCAATAAAGTGTGAAGTAGGACTTTCGAGGGTAAAAATAGGACATGAAAAATGACATTACATCAAAGAAGGTCTTACTTAGTTCAAAGCCGAGCTACAATTTTGGACTCGGGTTTCTCCTTTAGTCTTTCCAAAACGAATTTTTGATAAGCTTTAATTGTAGTTCTTAAGGTGACATGAAAGTGACGTCAAAGAGGTCTCGTTTATGGATCTTTTCTTCGAACTAGGTGTACCGAATTGTTTCCAACTTTACCACGTGAACGAGAAGGCAATGAAGGGCATGTTCACTAACAAAGTTTCAATTTTTTAAAATTTGTTTATAGACGTTTCAAAAAAGGTTGTATAAAACATGAAGTTTTATGGGCGTCAGGATCTTCCTCGGAGCCTCCATATTTACGTGGTAAACATTCAAACAATTCGATACACCAAGTTTATAGAAAAGTTTCACGAACAATTGATCCCTCTTATGCCATTGTTACATCATCTTAAGTAGAACCTAAGAGTGAAATACGATTAAAAAAGGTTTTACTTAAATAACGCAGGTTCAAAATGGCGCTAAGATTTCGGCTCGGCGTAGGACTTAATTCGTAGGAAGTGAGACGTCGACAAGGTCAAAAGTAGAATTTATAGAGCGAAATAGGATCATAAAAGGGCTTACTTCCGTTACAAAGGTTCAAAGTAAGGCTAAAACGACTCGGGTTTTCTCGTTGATTGGCCGTACACCTAACATTCCACATTGAAACCGTACACGGAAAAAAAATAATTTCGTTACAATTACTATAGGGACATGGTTAAAATACTGTGGGAAGTAAAACCACAGAAATGGTGAAATTGACAAAATGGAATGGTAATATTAATTACACGAAGAAGGTACAATACGCCCAGGAAAATGAAAGGTTTATCTGGGAGCTGTAACCACATATTATATTAAGGTTATACCCGTTGCGAGGTTATTCTAAATTTACCTATGCGATTACAGAAACAATGGTTAGGCTCCATTAGGTTCGACAGGATCACCAGGAGGCAAAACTTCTCGCAGACGATGCAGACTGCTCGTTTGCATATAAGACCCGTTACCATCCCTTACGTTTACGATACAATGACTGTACCCCTCCCCGAAGAAGAGGAAAAAGGGAAGTAATCATCAGAAATCACCCTTCCGAGCATCAAATGACATCTTACTCCTTAAGGTTATAAATTTATGAGAACTCTGACAGAAACATATGTATAACGTATGTAATCATAAAAATCGAATTCTTTATGTCGCCGGTAAATTTATAAATGTATATTCGTAGCTATGCCCAATGTTGGAACAACTCGTTCCCTGTAGTTACGTTGACTAAATAGTGAAGTAGCCCTTACTATATTCTTTTTACTATGTTGCGCTGGTTAATGCAACCTCCTCCGAAGGTTGTCCTTGTCTCGTATGTTCCCTTGCACTAGGGTTACGATTCCCACAATTGTGGTGTTTTCCTGCCCATTCTTTTTTTTTTCTCCGCGCATAAGATTCCTAATGAATACATTTGAAGAAAATGGTAAATATCGGCAAAATCCCGGCCTTCGTTAGGTTTGTTCGCGTTGATTACACTTTCTATACTCGAGGGTAACGAGAGTACTACTTTTCTTGAAAAGTGCAGAAGGGTAGATACACTTTCGTCGACGTTCCGAACGCCGGAAACCTCACGAAAGTCCAAGATGAACGATTTAGTAAAGAGGTACGCGATTTTGAGGTTATCCGTATCGGACGAAGATGAATACGAAAATGTAATGCTTCTTCCAGCCTTCATTCTTGAGCCGTCTTCGTTTCCTACAATTCGTTCTATTACCTTGTAATTGTAGAAGCTGAAAATTCCTTTCACGAGTTTCAGGTATTGAGGATCAATAAGCGTCAGAATATTATTACAGGAGGATGAAAAACAATTTAACTACAACAGAGAAAAATAATAGTTTAGTTCATTCCAACCGCGGTTAGGTAGTAATACATAATTATTGTAAATCGTTTCAAACATTACGTACTAAACTAAAACGCTAAATCGTTCTATACACGAAGAAGATGCATTAACAATTACTTCTATTTATATTACGTTGAGACATTAGCATAAATTTTGTATTCTCCTGTTCGTTGGTCTTCTCAATTTTGAAATTTGCCGCCAAATTCGCGGGCTACCCTTCTTGCCCTCGCTCGGGATCGAGGGTAGAAAGTGTAGAGAAAGTGTACCCTCGGGGTAGATGCCCACACAAAACGAACAGCGACGTCTGCGTCACTTCCGTCAAAACGAACCCCAAAGTGTACACTTTTCGTAAAAGTGTAAAAACTGTAGGCAAAACGATCAAACCTATTGAATTACATGTAGAGGTAGCGGACCCTTCCCTGACCGAAAGAGGCCGAAAGGTCGGTCTATTTATATTACGTTGAGACGTTAGCATAAATTTTATATTTTCCTCTTGGTTGGTCTTTTCAATTTTCAAATTTGCCGCTAAATTCGCGGGCTACCCTTCTTGCCCTCGCTCGGAATCGAGGGTAGAAAGTGTAGAGAAAGTGTACCCTCGGGGTAGATGCCCACGCAAAACGAACCCCAAAGTGTACACTTTTCGTAAAAGTGTAAAAACTGTTGGCAAAACGATCAAACCTATTGAATTACATGCAGAGGTAGCGGACCTTTCCTTGACCGAAAGAGGCCGAAAGGTCGGTCTATTTATATTACGTTGAGACAGTAGCATAAATGTTGTATTTTCCTGTTGGTTGGTCTTTTCAATTTTCAAATTTGCCGCCAAATTCGCGGGCTACCCTTCTTGCCCTCGTTCGGGATCGAGGGTAGAAAGTGTAGAGAAAGTGTACCCTCGGGGTAGATGCCCACGCAAAACGAACCCCAAAGTGTACACTTTTCGTAAAAGTGTAAAAACTGTTGGCAAAACGATCAAACCTATTGAATTACATGCAGAGGTAGCGGACCTTTCCTTGACCGAAAGAGGCCGAAAGGTCGGTCGTGGCTCTTTGCCTCGGCCGTCCTTCGGACCTCGATCGACCGTCGGCGTTGATTGGTCCGGAGGAATTCCCGGTCGCGTTGCTCCCGCGTGGGCGCGCGACTCGGCCGACCACGTGTCGCCGCGCGTGCGAGTGCGCGCTGGGGCGCCCTCGAGAGGGATACTCGTAAGAGGGACGAGCCCCTCCCGCTCGGCCAATCGCGACCGAAGCCGCGCACTTTCGTATCGGCTACCGGTCGCGCGAGAGGGGACGGCGAGGGACGGAGGCCGAGCGAGAGCGGCTAGTGCCCGCTTTGTCGGGCGAATTAGCAGCGTCGACTAATCGCCAGTCGTAGCGAGCGCGCTAACCGTATGCGCGCCTCTTCTTCGAGATTCCAGTCCGACGCGAGCATCGACGACTGCTATCCAGCTGATCCAGCTCGCGCGCGACTGCTGGTCCTCGGGGTTTGAAAATCGTCGCGGCCGCTCATCCTCGGAGGGTTCGATTCGAAGCTCAGCCGTGCCCGTATCTGAGAATAGTTCGCTCACCCGAGCACATTTCTCGCCGTTGAAATTTTGCCGCCTTCGGCAGGAGCTACGAGACGGTTGCGACGAAAGGAAATAGCTCGGGACAGGCGAGAGCTTCGTGGATACTTGCACTCGGGGTACAGGGTGAGTTGCCGGATGCACGTCCGGCAGTATTTCCTAAATCATTAGCGTGCGGACAAAATGCTACGAACGAAGGTTACCGATGTCACGGGGAGACGTAATTTAGCGCTCATGGGGAGAGCGATGTGGTTCAAAAAATCATTTCGGACAGGTATCGTTAGGTCGGGGATCGTTTGCTCAGGAGCACCGATAACGGTTGCCTGAGGATTTCGATCGGACCGGGCCTCGTGGGTTGTTTTTCGGATTCGCTTCCGGTTGGTTGAAACCAGCCAAAGACCTCGTCGAGTAAAGCGATAAAGATACTTTATTTTCGGGTGCCTCGTGGTTTACAGGAATGATTTAAGGGGGCTGGTATTCGCCCAGAGTTACAGGTGCCTCGCACGCAGGTTACAGAGTGGAGACAGGTCAAACTTCGCTGGTCAAAGAGACAGAGCCCTTCGGAGCGGGCCTTTTTGTACCAAACCGGATGTTCCTAGATGCAGAGAAGGATGCTTATTGGTGGGTTTTTAAGATTGAGAAGGGTAATGTCTCCCGTGATTGGTTTGGGGACAGGTTGAAGGGGAAATAGGTGGAAAGTCGTCTTTCCCAGAGAATCCGCATGGTGCCTTTCCCAGGGCTGTTATCTGGTTTGGGGTGCGGAAGTACGCAGAAAAACAAAGGGGAGGTAAAGAACGAGGGAGAGCACACGCTGTTTAGAGTTTCTTTCTTAATATTACTTAAAATAAAATGTTAGGTAGAGACCTAGCGGTATTCGGAAAGTAGAACCCCACGGGTAAGTACGAGGCACGACTTGAGACTTCCCGCGTTATCGTTTCTCTTCAAACAACTTCCACTCGTGTTCATTCGACCATGAACTATCGGACCATTATAAGAAAGAATTCTAATTCAATGAACGAGACCGAAAGATCGTTTTTTTCTCCTAAATCTTGTCCGAGTTCTGTTCCATTCGCGCCTTTTATCGCATGCCCTGTACAGATTTAAAATTTACATTACGTGCTCCTGCGTCATCGAGCAACTTTCCCCGGGCACTGTTTCCTTATTCTAGCATTGATAGTTTTATAAAATCGTTTCAGATGGAAATGTCAACCGATTCGCAGAGTATACGCAATATCCTTGATCCTCTGTACACTTAGTTCCTGCCGGTCTTAGACGAACGCCCTGCGCAGCGGGTTCGCGCATTCGCGCGGCCCTACTCACCCTCGTCGGGTGCGCGCGCACGCGGAGTAGCACGTGCGCACCGGCGGTGCGCCGACCAGTGCGGCGGCGCGACCTACAGAAGCAGCCGGACCGCGGTAAGTAGCGCATCTTTCCTCCCTTTCGCCCCCGTCGTCGTGTCATCGGCCCCTCTCGCTTCCTCTTTCTCTCTCTCTGCCTCTCTCCGCCCATCCGCGGCAGATTCGCGAGCTATTTCGGCATCTCCACGGCGGCCCACGTGGACACGGCGTAGTCACGTGTTTGCATCCCAAGGGAGTTATCTCGCTTTCGACTTCCGATTTTGCCCTTCGATCGCGGTTTATCTGTTCTCTTTCTCCAAATTTACTGCCGTGGGTGCCGAGGGAGACCGATCTTCGGCCATCAAGAGTCTTGCGATCCGAATTAACGGCTCCCGGATGTATCGTGTCGAGCTTCGATTCGCATACGAGGAATCTCGAAGTCGTCGGGGACCTGTTTCACTGATTCTTTTTTAAATAAATTATCCCGTTTAGCGGCGCACTATTGAGAGGAATGCGCAAGAGGTGCAGCGTGGCGCGAGGGGTCCGACGAACGACACGGGAGGCTTTTTCGACGATTCTGGGATCGATTTCGTAATCAGCGTGGACTTTAAGGGAGTTCGATGTTGACTTCTTGCCAGGTGAGCTTACCGACTTGGTTTCGGAGTACTTTTTAAAATACAGTCCGGGGACTTGCGGGAAACTCCGACGACTAAGGTGATATGATAGGGCCATTCTGTATATATCGAAACGTGAACATATTTATAAAGCTTTTCTATAAACTGGGTGCACCGAATTATCTGACACTTTAACGCGTGATTATGGAGGCCCTAATGAAGAACGCGATGCTCGAGAGATTTTATTTTCCGAGGAGAAAATGTCTTTTTTCTTTAGTCTTGCCCGAGATAAATAGACGTTTTTCATCGAGAAATGAAATTTCACGAGCATCGCGGTCTTCCTTAGGGCCTCCATAATCTCGTAATGAAGTTTCAAATGACTCGGTGCGCCCAGTTTGGAGAAAGGTTTTATAAATATTTTGACTTTTTGGTATGTATATTTGATGCTTTCATATCACCTTAAATATCTTAACCAGGGGGATACTTTCCTGTCCGAGGAAATCGAATCCCGTGTAATCAAATCTGATGAAAGGGGTGTTTTCTTCTATTCTTGTTTACCGTCTGGCAAAATTAAGATGGCGCTGCGACCTAACGCGGGACACGTGCTCGATTCGTTAGAAACTTTTGTACCTCTGTCCTGTCCTCACGTTACCCTCTATGTACTCAAAAATGATTTACAAATAACCGTTACGTAGAATTTCAAGTTACTGACGTATTGTCGATCACTTTCTCCGGGATTCGGGCAACCTTGACACGAGACACCGAAGGTGTAACCGTACCTTGCACACCTTGCACACCTCGCGCACTTTGCACACCTTGTACACCTTGTACACCTTGCACACCTGGCTGCACATACATTCGTAATTATCCGCACTCGTACAGAGAGACTGCAACGCTAACTATCTCTGAATCGAGATTAATGTGACTGATCGAAATAAAGTAATCGGTCAAGATCTTTACCTGGTTTAATTTTTTTTTTCTTTTCACGCTCCATTCACAACCCTTCACGATTCAATAATCTTTTCCTTCGTCACGAAATGACCTCCCTGATTCAGATCTGCACCTGTCAGAGTGTCATGCAGTTCACGGTGTTAATTGCAAAAAATAATGAGATGTTCGTACGCCGATAAGTTTACCTGGCAAGGAGTCGGTTTCGAACCCCTTTAAAGGTTGATTACCCGAGCAGATTGTCGATGATTCATTCGACATCGTTCGCCTTTTCCGATGACTCTCGCAAGGCGAAGAATTTCAAGCAAGCCACGGTTAATTAGAGGATGCGTTTAACTGCGGCTAAAAGGGTTAAAGGGTTAAAGGCCGCAGGGGTGAAGCACCCTGAATGTTCTACTTGCAGTTAACTCGACGGCTGATCGTGTAATTACCCTTATTCATAATTACAGATCTTTCACTTATTTCCTTCATCTAAAAAGAATTTCAAGAGGTGAATTCTGTTAAAGAGACACGTTTGGTCGAGGGAAAAGAGTTTAAGGTGAAGTGAGACACGTCGAGGAACTTGTTCGACGTCGGTAAAAAAGATTCTTCCAAATACCTACGTTGCCGACGTTCATTTTTATACTGACAGCTGTATCGAATTATATTAGGTATTGTCCTAAATGGCATACTCCACCTGTCGATTTCGTATAATAATTATAAAGAAATCGAAGTAAAACTCCAGAAATCCTCTGGATTCATACCTTCTGGGGCCCTAATTGATTGCAGAGGGACCCCCTGCGCCATCTGTGATTTCCAGGTCAATTAAATTTTCCCTCCGAGACCTAGTATTCCCATCGTTTTGGCATAGAACCGCATACAACACTTTTTTTGCCTTTATCCCGTTCAAATGCGACTTTATCGATTACCAGAGTGTTTTAAATTGTTGTAAAATTGTCCTGACCGTTTCGTTTCTCATATCAGAGCCTTCGATAATTGTATATTGATCGAAATACGAGAGCTCGACGCCCTTTTGGTTCTGGTCTGGACTGAGTTAAAAAATTTTTTCCAAAACTCCAAATTTTGAATGTCAGGACAATTCTTAGATGATCAGGAGTGATGTGTCATGTTTCGGACAGTTTGGTCTAATACCCTTAAAAAAAAGTGTTGTATTCAAATCGACTGATTTGAAGGGGGTTTCGCTTCACCTTAAGGCGACATGAAAGTGGCGTTTGAAAAGTTGATGAAACTTTTCTGCAAACTGGATTTATCGAATTGATTGAAAATTTACCACCTGGATAGGGAGGTCCTAAGAAAGGTCCTGACACTCGTGGCATTTCTTTTTCTTATTGATTTATATACAGTTATGATAAGTCCAGTCCGCAGAAAAGTTTCATAAACGATTGGCCGCAAAGCTGCCACTTTTATGTCACCTTAATTGCTCTGGACTCTCTGCTCATGCTTGATTTCGTATAAATTCATGTAACGTCCCGTGTAGCAATATAAATTCGAACAATATTGATAAACTAGTTAATATAGCGGCTATTGTGAGTACTGCTACAATATTAAAATGTGAGCTTTCTAATTTATTGGTAGCATATGACATCGTAATATAAATTAGCTAAAATGTCCAATATTGCACCAATATATTGAATTTAATATTTACTACGACGCGAAATATGATATTGGCTCAATTTTGCCCGACAATTGGCAATGGTGTATCAATAGATAATTTTGGACCAATATCACACCAAGCTATTACCAATATTCGCTGCTACAGGGGGTTTTGTTGTTCCTGTCCTTTAAACATTATTCAGGATTTACCTTGAGTCCGACTTTAGTGCAAGTTGGAGTTGCGCTATCTGGAATAGTCGTCAGAAACTCAGAAACCTGTTTTTCATGGTTAAGAGTAGGTATTTTAAATTCTTTCTTACTTGGGTGATTAAAACTTTCTCGGGAAACCGTGCAGTTTTGTTAATTAACACTTAGTACATAAAGACATTAGGTTACGCCGGCTATTGGACATATTTAGTAACATATCATAGTTTAATGCATACTTTGCATTGCCGGTAAATTTTTTAACACTTCTTCTTTATGATTTAATTGATTTTAAAAATTCTTCTCCTGAGAGATATGTTTAGAAACAGGAACACTATGTTCATCTGGTTATCTACTTATAACGCGTTTCTGTGAAGTGATATTACTCATCCAGGGTTAAAGTCCTACGACTCATAATGCCCGTTCTTGAAAATCTCTTATATTCGCTTTTATTGTCTTTCACTTTCTTCATTTTTACTTTCGTTATAGTGACCAAAGTATTTCCCGCAAATTTTAAAAAGGATAACTAGTAATGCGGAATTGTAAAATGCCCTACGACACAAAACAGCGCCACGTGGGTCAACGGTTTTCAGCGACCTGTCGCCTTTAAGTGATATGAAAGGGTCATTATATATGTATATGTATATATATATATATAATATTATATACATAATATATATATATATAAAACGTCAAAATATTTATAACATTTTTCTCCACACTGAGTGCACCGAATGATTTGATACATTAACACGTAATTATGGAGACCCCAAGGAAGAATGCGATGTTCGTAAAATTTCATTGTCCACAAAAGAAATGTGATTTTGGTCTAGCCTACACTAGATAACAAAAAATTTTTTTTGAAAAATGAAATTTCACGAGCATCGCATTCTTCCTTAGGACATCCATAATCACGTGTTAAAGTTTCAAATGATTCGGTGCATCCAGTTTGGAGAAAAGTTTTACAAATGTTTTGACGTTTGGATATATGTGCCCATAATTATGAAAGTGGTCTAAGTCAAAATTAAAAAAAAAAAATGAGTTTAATAGTTATTTCACGCCATATTATTTCAAACGAAATTAATTCAATGTAATTTCGAAACAAAAAATATATGACTTAGACCACTTTCATAATTATGGGCACATATGACCTTTTCATATCACTTTAAAGTGATAGGGTCATACTAAATATCTTTAAGGTGATATGAAAGGGCCACCTTAACGACGGCCACTTTTGGAAACAGACGAGTGAAGTCAGTCTCCGGTCGAATTAATCGAAGATTCTTCTCTTCCTCTAAACCTCTTATAGAATCTAATCAAAATATAGAAGAAACGTCAGTATCGTGGGAATTTGAATATCTAAATATTTCCCTAAATATCTAACTCGCTCATAACCAGCTTAACGATAGTTCGACTTTTCTACAAAATAACTTTATAAAAATGTGCAAGATTTGTTTAACACTAGGTTTATGGGCGTTTTTTATATACCTGTTTCTACGAGCACCCGTCAAATTGACGGGTAAACGAAAACACGCATTTTCTTTAAAAAAATCGATTTATTCAAATTAAGTCTGTATTAAACAACACTAGGCTTTACGTTTAAATAAATTATTAATAAGTAAAAAGTCCTTTTTTAAAAATTATCACGGAAATGATTGGAATGCTCGTCCTCTCATCCTCGGAGTCAGAACTAGAAAGAATGCGCATCCTTTTCTTGCT